TCTCAGCCTCCCAGAGTGCTTGGGTTGTGGGCATGTACCACTTTAAGATTTCTAAAATACATTTTTCTATTACACTTTATTCTGTTTTGGATTATAGTTGAGGACAAAATTTCACTGATTAAATAAGAAAGAAGACCATTGTGCCACTTACTAGAATCAAGTACAGTGTCTAAATTTATTTCTAGGTTTTTTTATTTATCTTAAAAATTTAAGGGAGGAGTGTTTTTACTTCAACTGAACAGTTCTGTAAATGTATAGTTTTAACACTTTATTGTTTAGCTTCCGTAAGTATTACATGATTTACCATTAAAGAAAAAAACCCACATAGGTAAATGGAAAGTCCTACATGACAACTGAGCCCTGTCCTTTTGTAAATCTACTTCCTCCAAAAGCCCTTTACTCTCTGGAGGTGACCATTATTCCCACTTTATTTTGTATTATTCCTCCAGATGTTTTTTGTGGGGTATGTATGGTGTATGTCCATTGGTTATTATACATAAGTACTTTCCTATACAAAAATGGGATTATGCTATATAAATTATTTTCCAGTTTGCTTTTTTAATTTGCTAATATATTGCTAACATTTTTCTTGTATATATTCACAGCACGTGAATTATTTGAAGTGATTATATAACAGTCTATAATACGGCAATACCAGGTACAGCAGCCTGAGCTAAGTCACCCCATGCTGATAATCCCACAACCAAGGGAATTAAAGCCATGGTAGTTTATCTCTTTTCCAGACTTCCTGACCACACTATTTTGCTGGAGCCTCTGAAACATGTCCTTGCTGAGAGGGCCAGGCTGTCTTCACCATAGGAAATGTCACTGGTTACTGCCTACAAAAGGCACATGGCAGATTGTATAGTGGCTCTTAAAGGCTCTTACGTGATCTTTATGTGTGTCTGTACATGTATGGGACCTGCTGAGTCAAAGAGTACTGTATGTGTGTCTTTTTTTTGAATACGGTACTAAGGATTGAGCCCAGGCTCTTTTCTTTTTTCAGGGGCTTTATCTTTGTGTTTGAGACAGGGTCTTGCTAAGGCACTAAGTTACCTAGGCGGGGCTCAAACTTGTGATCTTCTACCTCACTTCCCAGAATGCTGGAATTACAGACGTTTACCACCGTATCTGGCTGGTATGGATATCTTTCAATAAATAAGAACTGCTAAATTGCCCTCCAAAAAAAGCACCAGTGAGTTTTCTTACCTAGTGTATGAGACTGTCTTGGCCAACACTGGATGTCACTAGTGATATAAATAGCCAGCACAGCGGTCTAAGCGCCTGCTTGGCAAGCACAAGGATCTGGGTTCAATCCCAGGTACAACATGCCATAGCGACCCAGTGCTGTGCCAACCCAAGAAACCAGGTGTGGTGGCGCACACCTGTAATCCCAGTGCTGGGGAGAATGAGAGAGGAGGATCACTTGTGAGTCCAAGCTGTGTAGTGAGACCCTGTACCAAACAAAAGATTAAAAAGAAAAAATTTTTTTAAAATAGCACTATTGATAAGTGAAATTGGTATTTTTATTCTATTGTACTTTCCATTTCCCTAGTTGACAATGAGATTGAGCTTTGTGTGTGTGCAGGTCATGTTCTCTCTACTTTCTGTACATATTTTTGTGATACCATTGCAAATATTATCACACTTAAGAATTGGATTTGCTCCTGAGTTTAATTAAGTTTTATGGTATTAAAACACAGGTACACAGGGAATATAATTAAAGGTGTTATAAACATGGGCTCCTACAACTATCTTGGATTTGCACGGAACACTGGCTCATGTCCAGAGGCAGCTGCCAGAGTCCTAGAGAAGTACGGAGTTGGAGTGTGCAGCACTCGGCAGGAGATTGGTAAGGATAAGCTGAGTTTGGGCAAATGCTGTTTTTGACTTTTTGAGGGGAGGGATTTGAGACAGGGTCTCTTTGTACACAGGTGGCCTCGAAGTCACTTGAGTCTCAGGTTGGCCTCAGACTTGCAGTGGTCTTACTGCCTCAGCCTCCATAGGGCTGGAATTAGGCATGAGCCACCATGCGTGGCTCTTTTGACTTTTTAGTTTTTGGAGTGAGTACGACTGAATCAGAGCTAGAGAATAAAATGGGCAAATACTTTGCCATATACTTTTTTTGTTGTTGTTGGAACCAAGGATTGAACTCAGGTCCTTGTGCTTGCTAGGCAAGCACTTATTCTACTGAGCTATCTTCCCAGCCCTGCCATATAATTTTTTATTTATTTATTTTTTCCTTCCATATAATTTAGATCAGGTAAAAAAATACTTTCTGTTTCTGAAGTATTAATTACTTTAATGCTTACAACACATTGAGTTAGTTTCCAATACGTTACACACACAGAATGTCCTTAGAAAAGTTCTGTGTGACAAAAGAGTTAGG